TCATGCTGTTTTAATAAAAAAGTTCGAAATATGGAATTGTAAGCAAGAAAATATTGGAATCCCTGAGGAGACTTCTGTTTTTTTCACAAATTTTAAGTGATAACTATTTCTATATTAATGCATTTTATCAAATAAATAAAGTGGTATCCTGATGTAAGTCTGAGTTAACAAGATATACAATAATCCAATTTACCAGGGATAATTTGTGTAACAACATAAACAGCTTATATCAACAAGCAGAGTTCTGCCCTACAGCTTTTGAAAATGCAGTCTTGGACTCTGTATTCTCCATGTTCATCTTTTAACTGTAATAAAACAGTTTTGTCAAAACGTTTTTGTCACAGGTAGGTATGTTAAAAAAAAGTAAAACCCTCAAAATAAGCTCAATAAAAGATTAGCAGGTTGCTCATTAAGTTAATAACATTTTCAACTACAGAATGCAAACACAGAAAATGAGCTAAATTAACATTGTTCAATCTATGTGTCAACTGCTAGACTTGAAAGATGTTTTAGCAGTCCTAACACCTATATGTACACTTATAAAAATATGGTCTTGGTGACTTAGCAAGGCCTAAAAATACACCATGCCACAAATATAAGCAAAGCTTTACAGCAAAAGCTAACTCCCCAAACCCATTAAGGTTTCCATCAAAAGGCTTCTTAATTATTTCAGTCCAATTCCAAGTCTGACAATTGTAAATAAAACATTTAGCAAAAATCACAATATCAACATTTAGTATGTTCAAGGCACAGAGAAGTAGGAAGGTTTCATTGCCTATCAGATAAGGCAGAAGAAAACCAACATGATCTGAACATACTCCATGCCAGAAGGCACATGCAATACACAGCATCGACAAGTTAGAGACAGGACTACCTTGGCAGATGTTATGAAAGGACAATTAAAGACTTCAAAAGTTAAAGACTGTACATGGTGAAAAAAAGAAAGATTTCCTTCAGAAAGTTTGATCTTGCAAATCGTTGCCAAATCTTTACCACTGTTTGATCATTTCCCATCTTGACCCAAGAAGAAAAGTCATTCATTTGGGTGACCTGTTGAGTGGAAGTCTAGAAACTGCTTTCTTGAACATACAATGAAAAGAGGAAAACCAGTACAAGTTTTCAAGACAATGCAATGGGGAACTGCTCGAGGCCACTTTCACAATGAGTTCCTGAGTTACAATGCTGAGAAGCTCCATAATTGGAAAGCCTTCCTTTGCGCACTTGAGCTTAGAGCTCCCATGAAAAGTTGTACTTCTGGCTTTCTAGAAATGGTGGTACCACACAGAATGTGAAAGGTTGTCTAGTTAAATCAGCTTTGTACCTTTGTTAAATCCTTCCTTGCACCCTGTAGATGCAAAAAACTAGTTTTTAAGGTTTGTTTTGATGTCTCTTGAACCTCAACACATCCAAGTATTACCACCTTTTGCCCTAGAAGGCACTTGGATTTTTTGTATTCTCCAATTTAAAGCCACTGATGCCTGGAGGCTCAATAAACTTATTTCACATAAATTCTAATTGTAGTGTTGTGATCAGGATTGGCTTATTCTGACCCTCTAGTTAACTAAACGTGGGCAAGGCAGAAATAAATTAAATCTGCAATAATTAAAACTACAAGTCCATCTCTGGACCAATGCTATATACAGCTAAATTAGCCTTTCAACACTAAAATTCTGAATTGGCTACATAAACTGCTAAGCATAATGAAAAAGCTTAATCCCCAGCATCAGTTTTTCTAATAGATTTCTGTCAAACAACCTTGCTGAAGCTTTCTATGGAAATGAGTCTGACCTCCACACCTTGCAAGGCCAGTCTGTAGCCTAAAAGATAAGGCAGCCTTCAGCCTCAGAATAAAGGACAGCATATCTTCAAGAATCTTAAAAAGTTTATGTAAAAGAAGAAGGTGCAACTTCTTCCTGCAAACATGAGGCAGACCAATGACAGTGTAGGTACGCTTCTTCTGAACAATCACTAGACAATGCTGCCACATCAAGCTGTACTCTACATTCATAAACCAGATCTGTACTGGACTCCTAAAGGAAAATCCCCATCTCTGGCTCAGACAGCATACTAAGTTCCATCTCACAAGAGTGAGAAGGATGAAACCATGTTTTAAACTCAGAAACCAGGTACAGGAAAATAGAAGCTTTCTGAGATCCAGAGCTATGGTCACATAAATTAAAACCCGGTAATTATACACAGGAGCACTTAAAATTGTGAAATACATACCACTTGCAGCTTCACAATGCCATGTTACATGGTTCACCCTTAGTTCCAAATAGGAAGCCAATGGCCCAAAAAGATGTTCAAAGTTTAGCTGTATTCCCTCATATTGAGACTCAAGTTCTCATCTATTTTTAATCATATTGGTAATACTTGTAATTAGGATCCTACTTAAAACACGAGCAAAAGACACAAATTAAGCTTGTTCCAGTAGATTTTCCAAGAGATGGGCACTGAGCCTCCCCCTTGACTGTTGCTGGCCGGCCGAAGAATCTGGCACACTTGGTGGTGTTTCCTCACTAACACCAAAGTGCTGGTTTCTCCAAAGACTGCCTCTTCATACATTTCACTTCATTTCAACTCACTTATATTTAACCACAAGCTCTATACAAAACTGGCTTTGTCACACAGACTCTTTTATTCAGGCAGCAAGAAACATAACTTAGGTAATGGTGGCCAAATAACAGCCAACAACATCCAACTGTCCACTGGCAAATGCCAAGTATCCATGTCACAGCTCCCCTTTATATACATTTAATCAGTTCTTTGTAGAGTGTATCGTACATTTGTCTGTTTCAATTCTCTTTTATCCTGTGCCTAGCATGCTTTTGAATTGTTTATTTACATTACCCATCTCCTAGGGATGCATCCAGGTGCCAGTGACTAAAACTATCTCCATTTAGTTCATAGTGAATGCCTTTAAATACTATATGTAAACATTTCTTCTATATCTGCACATTTTCATCATATAATACTACAGGTACATTGTAAAGACCTTTACAATTGGATTTCAGTTAATTGAATTTCAGTTAAAACAGTAAGCCTCAAGTACCCCATCACTTTAAACTCAGTTCTACTTCTTATTTTTCAGGCTTGTACAGCATACCTTCTCCCCTATGCAATAAGCTCACATTTTCACCAGCACTGTAATTTCCATGCAGGAGCAACTACCACAGAATAACCACCCAACTTCTAAATGTGGGTCAACCACCTCCATAAAAATCAAATCTACACTTCCCGAGTGGCAGACAGGCTGGAAGTTAGTAATTAAAGGTGACTGAAGTTTAGCCTATATTATACCTTTTCACTACTGAAACTGACTGTGAGTCAAATCCATCGGTTCATGAAACTCCAGTCTCATTTCTACTAATGCTCCTGGAAGAATGAGTCAGTGATGACTGATGCTAAAAAAGACACAGATAGATACCTTTACCGACCTTAAAATCACTTCTATAAGCCTAGAAATAATCAGAGGGGAAAAAAGCAGAAGACAATATCTGCAAGTAGTTTGACATAGCATAAGTCTTAGTGCCTTTCAAGCTTGTTTTAATGACTTTCCTATGAAAGCCCTTGAAAAAGTGTAACAGTTTGCCTTTATAAATTAGTAGGAATAGCAACACTAAAAGGAAGACTTCACTATAATATTCAAATATTTATATAACTACAACATTTGTCTAATAAGGTGTACAACACACTAGAGAGAATAACCAAAAAACACAATCAAAATTACAAACAAGTTATATATGTATATTCTACAGAAAATAATCCCAGACTAAACACAACACAAGCCAGAGAACATCAAGTGCTGTTCCAGTGAGATAACAGAGGCTTTTAGAAAATAAATCAGAGCTACCTGTGGGTAGCACTGAAAATACTACCATAATAATTCTTAAAATACACTAAAAGACTACCAGATTAAACATGGTAACAACTAACTTTGATTTCAAAGTTTTTGACTTTTTATCTGAATAGTACTGAATAGGAAATCAGGCAAATGATTCAAAGCTACCTGAGAAACTGCCATTATTACTCTGTTGGACGAACATCATTACTTTGACAAAGCAAATTCTGGGAGTTATGGAGGCTAACACCAAAAAAAATAATTAAAAAAAAAAAATAAAAAAATAAAAATATCTCCGAAACACTACTCAGAGCAAGAACTAAAGGAAGCACAGATGACTGGCATGGCTGCCAAGAGTAAAAGGAGAAAGAATATTAATGAAAAAAGCCTGAAATTTTCACTAAGTACTCCACACGCCATAACAAACATGTCTAATGATATACTAGGCAATAGGAGAACACAAGCAGTTTCAAATGGAAATAAACACTAGGAGAGCAATCAAAGCTTGGTTTTGGTTTGGTTTGTTTGGGTGGGGTTTTTTTGTGGGTTTTTTTTGTTTGTTTGTTTTGGGTTTTTTTTTGTTTTTAAACAGATTATCAATATGTCAGGTCTACTGACAAGTTTCATTTTGCATCCAATCAGCTCACATGGATCCACCCAGAGTTTGTTTTCAACAGATTTAGCAAGGCAGAGGGACAGGTTGAAAAATGGCAAAAAGTAGTGCCAAGATACTTTTTTCCCCTTTCCTAAAGAGACGGATCTTTAAAAGCAATTGTTAAAAGATCTTTCCACAATGGTTCCAAGCTTAGGTGGTACATCATAACACTGTATAAAGACACAGGACAAGGACAACAACTTAAATACATGAGCATCGGTTATAGGATTACACACAGATAATGATTTACCATCAGGTGGACTGTTCTCCCACACATCATAACATGCTTTAATAAACTAGTGCACCATGTAATACATTTATTTCTGATTAAGACATAAGGATACAAAGAATTACATACAATATTTCAATATGCTTTCTTCCTTACCTTACCTTTATTGTGAAGGACCACATTTTTGAACCAACATTTAGAACAGATAATTAATATCAACATTTAAGTTCTTTAACATCTCTGGGGAAAAAAAAAAAAAGCAAGCTTTTTCTTACCATGGCTGTGGGCAGTTCCTGGGCTGAGAGAAGGTTGGAGTAACTCTTTGGTTGGAGTAAAATAGGCTTCTTTCCCCTGGCGCTGGCTCATTTTTCCTGGAGTTAAAAGCTGTGATTCATCAGTGTTTGTTACCGCTGCTGAAATAGAAAATGGATGCTCATTCAACGATGTTATGTGCTTGTGCATAGATTTCTATTAACAACTTCACTGCTATTCATAAAACTGGTATTCAAATGCTGTATTGCAAATTTTTTTGTTCTTGAAAACGAGGATTTCAAACCATAGATTTGTTTTGGACAGGAGAACAGAAAGGAGCTGAGAAGACTGGTATAGGACATGAGGCGGAAGATGAAAACAAAAACTAGGAAGATGTAGGAAAGGCTGCTACTGAATACAGATACGGCACCAATCTGTTACCTAACTTCTGAAATCCTGCTTTCTTAGCCACTTCTGTGATGGTTTTTGGTTTAACTAGCCACAACACAGCCAACCCAGGAAACAGCTTCCCAGATTAAGCTGCACCACCATCCCAGAAAGCTAAGATGAATGTATGTACATACATCAGAAGAAACAAGTCTTATTAATAAAAATCATGTATAGACTTTGTCAAGGGAAAGGTTTAAAGCAGAAGAATTACTCTCCTTGGATCTTATCAGTCTGAAAGACTTGTTTGATGTCTTCTAGCTATTTGTAAGATCACCTGGTCAGCCATCCTGTTTATGGTATCTGCACATTTCCTTAAGCTGCACGTAAACCGTACCCTTTTGATAGTGGAAGAACAGCTGACTCAGTAACACCTGTCCTGTGGAAGTAGATACACTGACAAAAAGGGATCAGAGGGGGAAACAAAAGCTGCTTACTAAAGAAGAGCCCAGAATATTGGAACTTACAATGCAACTCATTTTAAGAGGTTCCAAGCTTTCCTCAAAGTTTTAAAAGTTAAGCAGAAGATCTAGTTTAAACAAATAAGTTCCATTTTCTGGATGAAACTTTAGCTTTATTTCTACTATTATTACAGTATTTATACAGTATTTCTACTATTATTACAGTAACAGAAACATTTTTTTTCCATCAAAGCCTAGTATAAGCACAGGGCAGTATGAAGAACGCAAGGATGCCAGGATATCCACCTGTACTATTTTTCTACATCAGATAAACCATCTGAAGCTCTGCTCCAGACAAACCATACCCTATGCAGACTGCCACTTAGAAAAAATATGTGAGGAGATGGACAAGGGAGGTAAAGAACTCGTTTTACCAGCTCTGAGTTCAAATCTGTCAGTGTCAGAAGGCCATTAATTCAAAGTTGTAGTACCACCAAAGTAGCTTTTTATTTTCCTGCAGGTACAAGTAGGGGGAAAGGGGATGTGTAGGGGAGTTGCTGAAGTCTTGAGAAGGGACTGCACAAATGGTCTGGTATCTGAACTGAAAAATAAAGGGGAGCTAGAGAACAGCTGCTTCACAGGCTCACACAAAATGGGTCTCTGTGAGGACAGAAGGCATTTGTTTTAAAAATGTTTAAGGTGCACTGAGGTAGCACCAACATTCAATCACCCAGCTGAAAGCCACTCTCAAAGAGTCACTGGCCATTCAGCTCCATAGGAATGGGATTTCACCTCCCACAGGTGGCCTCAGCTAGCCCCCCCCGCATAGGCAGTGCTCTGGCCCCACAGGTGAGCACCCTACAGGTGTGCACCCCATGGGTGGGCACCTCACCTACCGTGCTGCCAGTCATGTCACAGACCTGCTCTGCAGTGGGAATTGCACTAACAACCCTTCCTCCAGTGACCTGGGAAGAAGGTTCAATTTCTGAACAGCCACTATGCAGCACCAATAGCTGCTTTTTTTTTTTTTTAAGCTTTAAGGTTTGGAAATTCCTAAGTTTTTTTAAGCTGCTGAGATGCAATCATTTCTCAGGCAGTACTGGCCAGCAATGTGGAGCACAAGCAGGCTCAGCATGCAAGTTTTACCAAAGCACGAACTGAACTCAGTGATGTTAACCCAGTAACACCCACAGGGTTACAAGCTTAAAGTTCACTATTGAATTCATGCTCCTTTGTTAGTCTGCACACTCAATTTGGGTCCTGCAAAGACTGGTAGCAGTGTCAGAAAAGCTCTTTTCCTACAAAATGAGGTTTATGTATCACCTAACATAGAATATCTTGTGAAAAGCACTTTGCATACCTGGGGATTCAAGGTGAATTTCTTAAATCAAGCAGGCTTTTGAGAAATTCAAGTTATAATGCTGAAGGATGATTAGCAGGAGAGTTTTAAAATCTCCTTTTTATACAAAGCATTATAAAAGTACTAAACAAATGGAAATAAATCTGTTAAGATCAGAAATGTCTATCCACAGCGTAGCTGCCACTAGGAAGAAGTCATCCCCTCCTTCAAAATGCCTCATCCTGATGCTTAGACATTTGCTTTGGGATAAGGGGGAAGACAAGGCAAGGGAGAACATACCTGTTGCTTTGAGCAGGGGACAGTGAATAAGATTAAAAAGAAGCTTTCATCTTTTTTTTTTTCCTAAAAGACTAATGACCCGATTTTTACAGGTGCCTGTATAATCACAACTGTAAAATCAGCAGGGCTTTCAGGCAGTTAACAAGGTCTGTAAAACTATGCTTTAAGCATCTTACGGCACAAGCTCTGGAACCTTAAAAGACAGAGATGAAAAGGAAAACGTAGTTGGAAAGGAGAGAGGAGGAGGAAAAGTTATGCTGGTAACAAGCCTAGTTTTTAAGATGCCATTAAATGAAACACCTACCACTCAGAAGCAGATCTGTTTAAGAGAGTAGATCTTATTTGCACGTATAACTAGATAGCTCAGCAATTTGTAGAGGTTCCTTGGCTGCTATCTATAGCTTCTGATGGACTGATTATATAAATGGTATAAATATGTGCAGTGCATACTTTAAGTCATCCATTTACTGACAATGTTTGATGGTCTTACAGCTAATTTTAAACTCATTTGAAGCACAGAATGATTTATCCTGGAATTTCATTACATTCACGGAATAAAATCAACAGTGATACTGAAAGAGGGCAATAGTCATTTACTCTAGTGACCTTGCTCACTTGTGAAATAAAAGTTAGCATGAATGACTAAATGCTGCTCCAAGTCAAACTTTTTTTTCATTTGCCCAAAGTACCAAACAAACTTACAGTTTTGGACTCATGTGTCCCCAGGTACCTGAAAAAACACACTCAGTTTCTGACTAATCTACAAAGCACTCACACCGTCTTGTGAGTTTTGTTGAGGATAAGCAAAATTAATTTTTTTTTTTTTAAATGTTCCTGGTGAATGCCTTAACTACGGAAATGATCAGAGAGCTGGAGCACCTCTCCTATGAAGAAAGTTGAGACAGTTGCTGTTGTTCAGCCTAGAGAAAAGAAGTCTCTGGGTAGGTATTATAGAAGCCTTTCAATATATAAGGTTTATAGGAAAGGTGGAGGAAGACTTTTTTACTAAGGCCTGTAGTAACAGGACAAGGGGCAACGGTTTTAAACGGAAAGAAGCTACATTTAGATTAGAGATAGGAAAGAAGTCTTTTACAGTGAGGGTAGTGAGACACTGGAACACGTCCAGAGAAGCTGTGGATGCCCCATACCTGGAAACATTCAATGTCAGGCTGAATGGGGACTTTGAGCAACCTGATCTAGTGGAAGATGTCCCTCCTCACAACAGGGGAGGTTGGACTAAATGATCTTTAAAGTTCCTTTCCAACCCAAACAATTCTATGATTCCAGTTCTTCTTAAGTTTCACATGCCATCTCCACAACTTAAAAGACAGATTTGCTAGGCATATGCTCAACGTGTCCAACAAGACATACATTGCCAACCATTCCTTCCAAAAGCCTCAAAGTGGCAATTTATTTTCAGACTTTCACTCTGATTTCAGAGCACCCATCCAAGAAAAAGAAGATCTCTGTTCATACCCTCCTTTACCCGAGTGAGTTTAAACCCATACTATCTCCTTGAATATGAGCAGAGGTCTAATTTAGAGAAGAAATATCACTTAGTAAATATCAAAGCCTCCTTGCAACTCTTTGGAAGATGCATTTCTATACCAAGAGAACTATTAGAGTTGATAATACATACTTTCTTCAGTTTCCTCATACTGGCCATCAAATTACTAATATATAGTTTGTCAGTAAGATTCATGCATCAGAAGAAACAGAAATTGGGGTCTTTACAGCCAACTTATTTAATCAGATAAAGCTATGAAAAAAAAATAAAATCTGAAGCGGCAGAATCCCAGTACTTCTGTTTCTATAATGAGCATGTGAAAGTGCCTGCACTCTTGAAAATAGCACAAGGACATCAGATATAGGAGACAGTTTATTATATTCAATTCTGCATTATTTTTGAAAGTGTATAATAAGCAATATCGACTGAAACTATGGGTTCTGCAGGGATTTCTCAACCAAAAAAAAAAAAAAAAAGGAATTTGTGCCTGCATCTTTCCCTGCCCCACACATGCAAACTCTTAATCCCAGGCAAAATTATTCTGCCAATCACGCCAATGGCCCTAACAAGTCTTTGCTGCAGACATGCACAAACATATACACAAAAGTTTTCCCTATCACCACACCAGGTCCAATCCTTATTTGAGAATTACAGTATATAAACATGTTCATTTCAATAAATTTACATCTTCAGATATTAAGTGAACCATATAGCACTGAAAACAGACAAGCTCAAACATTGTTTCTGAACCATTATTTTAATGTCTTGTCAACACTACAACAAAATTTGAAGGTTTCATTTCAAACTGATAAATATATTTTTTTTCTCTTTCAGGTAAGTCATTTAAAAGATTTTTTTTTTTTTCTAGCCATGACTGGGAGAAGTGAAGAATAAAACATTTCCCACTAAAAACAAACAAACAAAAAAAGCTTAATGCAAGGTAACATTTAGCTAAGATTTTTTTTTTTTTCTAGCCATGACTGGGAGAAGTGAAGAATAAAACATTTCCCACTAAAAACAAACAAACACAAAAAGCTTAATGCAAGGTAACATTTAGCTAAGTAGTATGACAGGTAAAATGTTTTTCCAACAGTAAATTTTCATTATACTTCTCAATCACAGAAGAAAACCCAGTATTTACCCCAACAGTCTATATGCAAAGATATATGCTTTTATGAACATACATGTAAACATACTGTAGGACAGGGGAGTCACTTACTTGATGGTCCATGAGAGTCTCTGTTATCACCATGATGCTGTGTACACATACAATTGAAGAACGAAGAACAGCAAACAAAAAAATCCAGGCCAGGAAGAAGCAAGTGCACAAAAGCAGCAGCAGCGGGAAAGAAGAAGGACAATGAAAACAGTGTTAGTTCATGACTGAAATACAACATGCACCTCAATACCAAAGGCAAGACCTCAAGAGACTTAGTTTTGAAAAGCTGAAGCAACAAAACTGACAAATATACTTTTAGAGCAGCCGTTATGAGAAGCCATCGTTGTATATGGTTAGTAAACAGCAACTGCCCCAATTGCTAAGTCCGAGTGGAATCTCTCCATCAGCAATGTAATGCTCATATGACTTGAAACTATACAAGCTATACATTTTAAGAAATTTTTAGCTGGAATGTTTTCAGAAGACAAACTCTGAAGAAGGCTGAAATAACACAATATTTGTTTCCAAAACTGCTCTGCTTTCAAACAGGTGTTTTGGAAAGACAAAAACTTTTAAGCAATCAGTAATGTGCAAGCACCCACTGATGCCAGATCTAAGCCTAACTGCTTTTGCACACAAACATGAACTTAGAAGCCACAGATTCAGTTCATCTACAAATACAGGTAACATTTTTAAATGCTTAGGCTGCAAGACAAGCACTGCAGTTTTAAATTTAAGAGGATATTTTATATCAAAGTATTTCCAGATAATCAAATTGTATAAAAAATTACCTCCGCCCAACTGAATGCATCAAATATAGGCACTACAGAAAAGTAATTACGTAGTAATAGTCTGTACTCCTTTCTGACATTTGACCTGGATTCTTTTATAAATCATTGCTACCTAAGGCCACAATTGGGGCTAAGATCCCAGTATGCTCAGCCATGTACTTGATGTGAAGTTAAGTTCCACCTATGTCTTAAAGGACATAGCCTTTAAACCCTATGAACAACAGAAAAGGAAGAGAAAAGAAACAAACCTATCAGCACAAACACTTCCTCCTTAAAAAAAAATCCAAACATGCTATACCTTCTATAACCTAAACAAAAAGCTTCTGCTTCATAAAGGAGAGAAATCTTTACCCTGCTTTATAGAGGATCCAATCTTGCCTCTCTGTTATCAGGACTAAACAGCAGGAAACGGGAAAAAGAAAAATAAAAACCATAGGAAGCAGGAGTCTTGTTTTACATTCCTAGTCTCAAAACACAGATTTTTATCCCTCACAGCTGCCTAGGGGTGTTAAATTGAAACTGCAACATATAAACGTGAAGTACTTCAATGAGAATGCTTCAATTGCAGTACACATCATTGGAAAGGTGAGAGAACCCTTCTTTCATAATTTTGAATTTTCTGGTAAAGGACTTGATTAAACAAGAGAAGCTGAAATAAAATTTAAGTGCACTTGGCAAAAAAACCTTCTATTCCTGTGAGAGACTAAATTTACATCAAAGAGTGAAACACTGCTACGGGAACCCATGAACTTACCAGACAAGTTTAGATAAGCAGTACATGAAATGCATTCAAGAATTCAACGGTTTTCTAGGTAAAGTGTTCCATTTTAAAGTACGAGTAACGTACTGCAGACTAGGAAACAATTTACATTCTGACTAAAACTGTATTACCCTACACCGGTTTTAGATTGAAGACAATAGTGACTGACAAGAGAGCTGGATAAAGGAGCCTGCCGAAACTGTACAGAGAAGGGCTGGGAACACCACTATTCAGCACCAGTCTGCTTTATTTCACACTGAGAGTCAGGAAGCGAGAGAAGAGAACTGGAAAAATAAACTGTTAACAGACATATAGGATCAGCAGTTTCTGAGACTCAGAACTCGCAGTGCATACTTACGGGTGGAAGAAAGAGAGTGAAAAAGCACGGCAGCAGGTCCTGTCTCACTGCCTGCCTCTCAAGCAGCCCTGACCAAGATACAACATGACACCACGGAGCAGGGCAACCCGTCACCCGAGATGATGCAGGGGCTTTTTATGTAAATATTTTAGCACTGCATGCTTAATCCTATGAACTGGTACAAACAGCTCCTACGCCAGAGGCTGAAACACAAGCCTGTCTAACTCTGTCCCTGATCTTCTCCAACAAACATTCTGTTTACACACCAAACCGCCTCGGTTGCTGGTCAACCTCCCTCTTCATGAGAGCCATTTGTGCCTGTGTATTTACCTAAAACCTGCAGAATATATATTTATAAATATTGATGCAAGATGTTAAGGTACTGAAACTAGACTATTTCAGACAAAAAGACCTTTTCATTTTCCAATAGCCTATTGCATCTCTATCATCTGCAATTCATATCACTGCAGATTGGGGATTTAAACCCCTAAGGGAACAAAACGTGACAGTTTTACTACTTCAGTGTTTTCTCTGACAAGAGTGCCTGCAGGGCACTCCTGCTCATCACATCCCACAATTTTTATTCTAAATATACAAAATTAAGAGAAACACACACTTATTACCAGAGACACAACATGCACTTATTTTCACATTTATTTAATTGAAGACTTTGATTACAGAACTAGTCCTTCAACAAGGGAGGTTCTCAACACTATGCCATTGGTTTAGCTTTTGCTGAGGCATATTTAGTTAAAAACGTTGCTGCCCAAACATACAAAACCTAGCCCTCCTCCCAGTTAAGTTTTAGATTAAGACTAAGGAATAAAACCAGCAATATAAACGATCACGTAAGTCAGCAGTCACAATTCTTTTTTCATAAAAAAGTAGCTCTATGCTTCAGAAGAGTTTTATTTTTAGACATTCATTTCTCAGAAATAAAGCTTATAACAACTGCTACTAAACCTAAAATTCTATTTGCCAACTTGTCCTATAAAACCTATAAAACAAAATCATTTCCCTGTTGAAGATTAGGGTAAAAGCAAAGACATGCCATGCCAACGTGTCTGAATCTCATGCTATAAAATATAAGTTTTTTCAAAATACTTACTAGATTTGCATCTAAAAGGACAGTTAAATCCTTAATAGAGCTTAAATGTTTTAAAGACAAGTTATAATTTTCACCCTGCTGAAGACAGACGGTTCCTGAAGGCAGTCTTCAATATGTGTAAATTACTAAGATTAATCATTTTACATTTAAATTCAGGACCACTGACCCAACCTGCAAAGCTCATCAGTAAAAAAGACCTCTATTCTGTTTTTCAAGGAAAAAAAGTACCTACTGAAGTATTAAATTAGCAAGGACTGACTATATAAAAGTTACATCAAAGGCAACGTAGTTATGAAATACACGTTTTGGTAAAAATTAAAGCTGATTAGAAAAGCTTCTAAAAATAATTTAGAAAAAGAATGTTTCACACCAAACATTCCCATGTAAAGTTCTGAGTTTTGGGCCAGCGAGGCTTGTTTAAATTAAATTATTGTTTTATAGAAAAATAGGCAAAAACTCTTCTCAAACAAGAACTCAAAACAAAGTGTCTAGTATTTTGCTTTGATTTAATGGTGCCAGACTACAAAAATAGTTTGCTGAGCTGTCTTAACATTTGCATTCAGATACAGTAATATCAACCTAATTATTAGACAGGAAAAGCATTTCACATAAGACTTTTCTCCCTAGACTGATTCTGGAAAAAAAGCCCACAACATTGAGTTCTGTGATCTCCTCTGTTTTCCTTTTACACACAAGCCAAAAACACACTAGAAAGCCCTCTTTCGAGGTGTCAAGCTTTTTCAGGTACCTCCTAGAAACCCCCCAAAGGACTTAAACCACGTAGAGCAAAATGTTAATCAGTATTCTTCATGCATGTTTGCAACTCATGCATTTAATGAATTTTAATTAGACAAATGGAATCTAATAACTAACTAAATAAATAAGATTTCAGCTAAAAGTCTGGAATACAGAAAAACCTCAAACATTACTCTTCAAAAAAATCTAAAATTCTGGGAAGTGTCAGCATTTGCATACACTCAAGGTCTTCAAAATTACTGGGTCCAATTTTTCTTAAAATACATGCTTTTTTTTAAAAAAAAAAATTCATTTTCAATTATTTACTACGGTATACACCAGACCAAGTATATTAGACTCACAGATAAGCTTCCAAAAATGCTCTTAACAGCTGTGGTGCAACACATAAAACTTCACGTTGTAACTGCAATTAAGATAGACAATTACTCCACTAAATGGTATTTTGGTAAGATCTGAATAAAGTAGGGAATAACAGTATATCACCAGTTAAAAAAACATTTGTTCCGAGATAACACTTCAGGTGCCTAAGCACATCGGATAAAAGGCAAATCAATCCTTACACTTCACATTCTTCTGAAGCAGACTTGGTAAATCATAAGATCCTCATTTCAAGCCACCTTCTTAAAATCATGCTATTTTGAAGGCACATCACAAAAAGAAAACTAGCACATTTCAACTTACTTCAAAGTTTTTTGTAAACTGGCACTTTTTTTTTTCCAATTTAGGAAACAAAGAGCACAGCAAGTCAACTGGCAGGATTTTTTTTTTTTTTTAAATATCCTATTGCACAGCAAACAGATAATACTCATAGCATGTTGTGCCTGGGATATAGATGCATTGGCCCTGCAACATATCAATGAACTTATTACAGAAAAAAACCCAAGGATTTTCTTAATACACTGCAAAATAGCTCGTCTCCAAATTATCACTTAAGATAAAACCAGTAATAAAATACTTGGATCAAATTAATAGCTCTGTGTAGCAGTTGAATCATCACAAACAAAGATTGTCACTAATAGGGTATTAAACTTGAGCTTCACCACAGTTACAGAAAAGATATCCTATTTTGCCTTTGGGAGGCAGTGCTTCACATCAGAAAGTAGCTTTGAAAACTAAAAAGTATTTCCTGCTTCAGCTACTAGAGTGCTTCCACATAAGACAAAAAATTAAATGGAAAAAATTAAGTGGAAAAATTAAATTCTTAAATAATTTCAGCATTATGATGATGATTAAGTGTCATAATACCCACTAGCCTTTCCTGTTGTTGAATTGTGCTTAGAAAGAGTGAGCTGACATTTTCACTACTTCAGAAATTTTATTATCAGCACAGATGATCAACTCTTACATCTGAAATTACTTTGATAATATATAATTATCACTCCTCCTGCCTTTTCTGCTCCTCATTCCACCAAGAAATACATTATTTTTTCTTTTGTCCGTATTTACTAGCTAGTAAAGTGCCAATTAACAAGACTGAAAGGAATACCATTTTCTTTTGGGACTCAGAGACACCAAGGATCAAATCCAAGAACCAAATATTTCTTGACATGCAACCCTCTTGCCATGAGAAGGCAGCAAATGATGGGCAATATTACATGATATTCCAAATGCCTTCACAAGAAAAGTATCAATTCAAAGCAAACTAGAACAGATTCAAACCATTTAATCCTCTTCCTGAAAAGGCACCTTCACATTCATTTGATTATATGAAGCCACGTTTAAGCTACTCACTGAATTTTTATCAAGTTCCCCGTCAACCGGAACGGTCTCCATGCTGAAAGGGTGAGCTATCTGTCTCTCTGTCAGTTAGAGTCCTTCCATCCCGCTACTTGAGATCCTGGATAAGGAAAGAAAAATATAATCATTCAGTTTCAATGGTTGAAATCTGTTAAAAAGCTACACTCTCTCCTCTACATTTTAAGAAGGCAAATAAGCTTCCTATTGTAAACTGCATATGTTATGGTCCCTTGCAAAACATGCACATTACCCATAAAAGGTTAGTTTCAAATAAAATGGCCAAAACAAAAGCTACTCACAGAGGAAAGCGTTTACTTTTAAGCATGCTTGCATCAAATAAGGAAGAGCTACACTGGAAGAACATGAGCAAAAAAGAAAACAACAAAGAAATCCACAGGTTTTGCCCTGTATTTCCCCTTGTTTCAGAGACCCTGGCAGCCACCACTCTCACCACGCAGGCATGTGCTCACAGGCTGTTTGGGTACATACAAACAAACAATTCTGGAGCAGTCAGAGTTCAGGGCTTACCAGCGCAACTCCAGAAACAAACACATTTTGCTTTTTGGAACTAAGACACAGAAATTAAATAATTTGTGCAGACCAGCACCCTCTGTGGCACAGCGGGCACTCAGCTGGCTGTCTACCTCACACAGACAGAAAGCATTGCCTCATTCTCTAGACATTTCCTATTTACTATTTTTGCTAAAGAATGGAAGCAGCAATAAACCTTAGTATTCACACCACATCTGAAGTTACCAGTAAGACAAGATAACAGTCTGGAATCAAGCAAAATTCAGTGGAAAAAACCATGTCTTAACCATTCATAGAATGGTTCGAGTTGGAATCATTTAGTAGGCTTCAGGAAGGAAGATGATCAAAACGGGATGCCTACAGAGATGCCCATCAACAACCCACTGTTCTGCTTCTCTGTCCAAAGCTCCCATCAACAAAAGATACAGGTGGATGCATGTAAGCTGTACAGGCTGTAAACTGGCCCGTTTCAAACACTTAAGCCAGCATCTCACATGTAGAAAGCCCCAAAGTCCAACCCTCCACGAAGCCAAGCTCACACTGCCCTTCCCTCCCACCAGAGCAAGTGTTTGATCACAGAATTAGTCCAAGAATTACTTTGTTGTTTTTTTTTTTTTCTTTCTTTCTTTTTGTCTTGGGTGGAGTAAAGGGACAGGAAGCAGCCAAATTACAAACCAGATTGCTAAACTAACACTTGTGCAAGAGCAGGGCTAGTATGGAGTATGACTTTTTTTTAAGCTACAGAGTCATCATATTGTGCTTAAGGTATACATCAAGCTATGGCTTCAGCTCAAGCTTTAGCAGAAACAAATTGAGGACTGAGGCTGATTGCAGGGGGAGAGGTGGGAGGAGGCATCACAGCCCCTCCAGGGAGCCTGAGGAGCATCCTGGGTGCAGGAGAAGGGAAAGGAAAGGACCAGGAGGGCACACAAGATCTTGCAATTCAAAGATTTCCTGCCTCAGGAAATACACACTCATGAAAACAAATCTCACTATGAAGAACAACCATTTGCTTTCAATATTTTTTATATCATTATATTTTTTTTGTTCTCATATTATGCAAAGCACATCACAATCAAAAAACCTTTAAGAAGAACATACAGAACTAACGCGCTTATAGCAAGTTACTGTAACATATGCCACTAAGACACAAATGGAAACATTAATAAAACGTTTAACAAAAAGACTAAAGAAACTGCAAAGTTTATAGTTCCCTATGATTCAGTTCAAAGAGCTGACGAGGATCTTACTCAAGTACCTGAGTAATTACCGAGGTAGCATGGAACTGGCAAGCGTAAGCCTAGATGTTTTCATGTAAATTAGAAACAGTAGACACCTGAAGGGAGATGACTACAAGTGATTAATTTGCATTAATAAAATGAAAGATGGCATTACCACAGAAAGAGGAATTCACCCCAGCAGCTCTGTTTCCCTGGGCGGCAGGCACTGCGACACGCACCTTCCACACACCAGCACAGGAATGCAGAATTGGGCAATGTCTCTTGGAGACCGCTCCTTGTCATCTCTCCCACACGCACCCATCTGAGGTTCTATTATTAGCAGGCAATTCAGCAACACCAGGCTACATACATATTCAATTTATGGAAACACTAAACTCTCTTGAACAAGATGAAAAATGAATGGCATTGCAAACAGATGTATACACTGATATTTAAAGCAGTTAGTGAGCATTTTTAGTTACACAAACTTGCAACCGCACTCAGTTATCCAAATAAACAGATCTTTCCTGACACAGGAACATTCACCCTAAACCGGTTTTAAACCCTTTTCTATTTTTAACAGACATTTGTTTAACTCTTAATTTGTATTGTCAACACTCCTGGTGTATCCTGCTCCTCTGTTTGTTCATGCGACCACAGCCACTATATCCTTCCTCACCTCACTCTCAAGAGCAGTGTCATCTGACAGGTATCCTAATGTCTAATACTTAGCATTTATGGTCGTCCATGGTCCCCAGAAAACTCATAATCCAGCAGGGTCCTGAAGCCTGCAGAGAAATTATCTAGGACAGGGAGGTAGAAAATTCTGCCTGCTCATGTTTGAGCAGACATGCAGAGTAAAGCAGGTGCAGAAATGGTTAAAGACTACCTTCCCCCACATTGTTTAGCTTATGAGTAGACAGCCAGCTTGGCTTATTTTTCTTGGCAAAACAAAGGCTGAAAGTGAACAATATTGCTTCTGAAATATGCCAAAATAAATACCAAGGAGGGAAAAGGGATCTCTCAGCAAAAAGATATTGCCAAAAAGCCAAGTAAGTATGAACTTGGAGAACAGATTTATTTTGAAAATTGCAGAATGCTTCCAGCCATGCAAGCTCCAAGGCTTTGAAATAATTTTCCAATCAACATACGGAAGGGGAATTTATCTAATTGTAAATGCAGCCAGGTTATTAAGAGGGGTGCTTCCATGAGTAAGCAAGCTCTTTTCTACTTCAGCTAGAACAGATTTGAAGACACAACCCCAAATTTAAATCATCATCTTGTCAGCTTTTTGGGGACATTTATGACATGCCTTTGCTGCTCTCTTCACTTTCACAAATGTTTGCCATTTGGTTGGTTGGTTTGTGGCTTTAATTAACAGATGTTCCTTCTTCACGCTCACAGCTCTTAAACACTTAAATGTTCAGAAGGGCACATGCAAACTGAAATAATTTGAATAGATTTATATGATAGCATCCCAGCTAATCACCTATGTTTCTTTTATAGACAATGGATACTAGCAATACTCTTCTAAGTACTTGTTTATTTTAAAGCAGCTGTACCAATTGGACAAATCATGTCATGAAATAAGCTATTTCTCTCCACTGTGAAGAGGATCTACCTCAGAAACACGTATTTAAAGCAGAAGGGAAATGCACCCCACCTATCACACAATCAACAAACCATCATGTTAACCTGTAGTTCATCTTACTTTAACAGAATTCTTCAGGCATTGGTAATTTTTGTAACAGTCTGGTTTTCAGTTAGCTGCACCTTAAGAATAGGAGCAATATAGAAGCAATTACAGCACACATCAATGAAAGCTACTACTCTGTGTGAACAGGATTTTATCTAACAATACATAAAGATACACAGAAGTCTTACACATCTTCCTACCTCTTCCTAACTCCCACCCTTTGAATAAAGATACCCCAAAAGCCACAGAAGTATGCCTCGGGTAATGCACATGGGCCACAACCACCCCATGCAACACTACAGCCTTGTGGAAGAGTGCATGGAAAACCGCCCCACAGAAAAGGACCTGGGGGTGTTGTTTGACAGTCAGCTGAACATGAGCCAGCAGTGTGCCCAGGTGGCCAAGAAGGCCAACAGCATCCTGGCCTGTATCAGGAACAGCGTGGCCAGCAGAACTAGCAAAGCAATCATCCCCCTGTACTCAGCACCGGTGAGGCCTCACCTCGAATATTGTGTTAAGTTTTGGGCCCCTCACTACAAGAATGACATTGCGGTGCTGGAGCATTTCCAGAGGAAGGCAAGAAAGCTGGTGAGGGGTCTGGAGAACAAGTCTTATGAGGAGTGGCTGAGGAAGCCAGGGTTGCTTAGTGTGGAGAAAAGGAGGCTGAAGGGAGACTTTGTTGCTCTCTACAACCACCTGAAAGGAGGTTGTAGCGAGGTGGGGAGTTGATCTCATCTCCTGACTACCAAGTAACAAGTGCTAGGACAAGAGGAAACAGCCTTAAGTTGAGCCAGGGGAGGTTTAGGGTGGACATGAGGAAAGATTCCTTCACCAAAAGGGTTGTCAAGCATTACAACAGGCTGCCTAGGGAAGTGGTTGAGTCACCATCCCTGGAGGTATTTAAAAGACATGTAGATATAGCGCTTAGGACATGGTTCAGTGGTGGTTTTAGTAGTGTTACATTAATGGTTAGACTCAATTATCTTAACCTAAATGATTCCATGATTCTATAATGTTACATATGATTTCTATAATGTATAGTTACACAGGCCACAGAGCAAAAGCAGTGGAAGCCAGAGGCCTCAGCTGTGTCAGAAGTCTCTGTGAAGGCACACACCTTTATTCACAACTTTACAGGTAAGCGGATTTGGCAGTGTTCTGTATTGACTTATACATTCCGTATGTTAACCAGATTATATCAGTGTTTATTGTACAGATATGTTGATTTAACCAAATAAAGGGGTTATTAGGAAAGAAAAGCCCTTTTTCCTCCAGCGTAAGAATGGCTCCTCAGCAAATATGTAACTTGTTCCAGGCACATCAGAGTTTAAACCTGACTCCATGCAGTAATACCCTATGGGAGGTATGTTTCCAACATTAAAAACTGTAATTCAATTTACAAAACGATTCCTCTTCTTCCCCTTCTCCCACAAAAGATCAACTTTCAGTCCAAACACTTCACTAAATTTGGAGAATTAGACAAGAGTCTTGGCCTGATCTCATTGAGAGGCTTGCTATGCCACCTCCTGTATCCTCACCGCCCTCCATGAGTTCCCAAATTTCAACCACCATGCAGCCACAAAGTGGAAGTGGTAAGAGATGACTCCTGAATCTAATATGTTTTCTGTTCAATCAACGGACCAAGTTACTTAAACACCTGCATACTGTATTATATAGGCAGGTTTTAGCTTTCTCCCTAAGTACTATCACCTACAGTCATTAGATATGGCATTTGCACTGTGATACTGTTTTGTGATCTTTTATAGCATCAGAGTACCCTCTTACACTCCAGCATCATACCTCATAGGCAAGGTACAGCCTCACCTGTGAGCTGCCTACAGGCTGCACAGTGAAAGGGTACTGCATGCTGATCTGGCCTTTCCAAAGGGGAAGCCTTCTCCCAGGCTCTAACTTTCAAAACTGACCTGCTAAGCTCTGCTGCATGCCTGCCTTCTTTCCTTAAGGCCTAAAATAAGTTAATGCATTTAAATTGACCAAGATGCTTATCAGACAAGAGGACATTGTAAATTTCTTTAAGATGACACAGGCATAATACATTGACTTGAAAGATCAATGATTGGCAAAAAGCATGTTGGTTGCTTGATTGGCAACAAGCATGTAGAGGAGGCACAGCAGGAGAAACGAAACCCAGTTGTCTACATTGGCATCAAGAAGGGTAAAAATTCACCTAGGTCCTTGCTGCAAAGCTGACACAGAACACTATCACAGAAATGCTATTCAAGGGAATCTCAGAATGGTTGAGGTAGAAAGGAACCTCTGGAGGTTATCTTGCGCAAACCACTTTTGTGGGAGGGCATCTAGGCAGCCTTTGAGTATCTCCAAGGATGCAGACTTCGCAACCTCCCTGGGCAAGCTGTACCAGTGCTCGGTCACCCTCACAGTACAAAAAGTGTTTCCCGATGTTCAGAGGGAACCTCCTGTGTTCCAGTTTGTGTCCACTGCCTCTTATCCTGTCACTGGGCACCACTGGAAAAAGCCTGGCTCTGTCCTCTTTACACCCTCTCTTCAGATATTTACACACATTAATGACATCTCCCTGAGCCTTCTCTTCTCCAGGCTGAACAGCTCCAGGTCTCTTAGCCTTTCTTCAAGAGATGATCCAGCCCTTTAATTATCTTCATGGTCTTTCACTGGACTCTTTCCAGTTTGTCCATGTTTCTCTTGTACTGGGAAGCCCAGAACCGGACCCAGCACTCAAGGTCTGGCATTGCAAGTACCGAATAGAAGGGAAGGATCACTACCTTTCACCTGCTAGCAATGCTTTGTCTAATGCATCCAAGGATACCATTCACCTAAGGTGCCACCTTCTTAGTGGCAAGGGCACGTTGCTGGCTGATGTTCAACTTGCTGTCTGGACAGGATCATCAGGTAACCCATAGGTAAGCAATTCTCAGGTGTGGTTATCAGTGTATTCAGTTCAGTAAAGTCCATAAGAAAATTTTTAAAGTTAATACTCTTGAGAAGCGTATCTTAATGCTACGAACAAACAAACAAACAAAAATCCAAAACCAAAAAACCCCAATGAAAACCAAAAAAACCCCAAAAAGCCAACAAGTTTCACAAAAATTAAGAGGTAACAGAGATAGGATCAGTTTTAAGAGATTAACGGAAATATAAATCCTAAATCTAATCAGGGTGATCAAACCAAGGCTCTCAAATAATCGGTGTCATTCAGCTGTCATATGACAGGGTGAAGGCACTTTCACCATAGTCCATGCAGCAAGGGAGCAGTAAAGGCACAGAAGACAATCAAGGCGCATGCCTTAATTTTAAGGCCCTTTGAATCCAGCGCACCAGAAGTAGTACAAACCCCTAGTTGTAGCCCGAGGCCACAGATCATCTCTCTCAGTTCACGAGTCCAAGTACACTTCATTAACAAGCCCCAGATGGAGCAAGCTTCTTGCACATGACACAATGTCACAGCATGCCAAAGACCCCGTGTTTGTTAAGACCAGTTCCGAGAAAGCAGGAACTGAAGCTGAGTTACTGATAAAACTGGAGTTGGGCCA